TTCCAAAACTGGTAGTTCGTCGGGGGGAGCCGTCCTTGTGAATGAAAAGGTATCCCGGCTCTGCCCCTCTCCTGCTTAAGTATTCCTCCATAGCCCTCACTGGGCATATGCTGTCCACCTGGCATGGCAACAATGTCACAAAGGCCCCTTTCCCCCATTGGTCAGCCTTTGACCGGCATATGTGCAGCCGCACCACTCCATCCTCCATCTGGACAACAGCCCGCTGCAAAGCTGCCCTGGATCCGTCCCTTTTTCCTCCGGCAACTACTTCGCTAATCCGTAGGGCGGAGAAAAACGTTAGTGATTTTGCCGCCTGAAACAAGCTTATCTCATACTCGTCCCGACAAATGGATCCCCACTGTTGGCCAATACCCTTCAACAGCTTGAGCGATATGGGTGCTCTCGAATCTTTGACCCTGTCCCTTTCTTTGGCCCAGCCCTCAATCATCTTTCATACAGTGGACCCTTGACTTACAGACGGCTTGACTTACAGACTTTTTGAGTTACAGACTTCTCTGGCCGCAAAATTTAGGTTTGACTTGCAGACTGAGATTTGACTTACAGACCAGAAAAAAACCAAAACGTAACAAAAACGGCCTGTTACGGGATTAATCGGTTTTCAGTGCATTGTAGGTCAATGGAGACTTGACCTGCAGACTTCTTGACTTGAGAACCGCCTTCCAATATGGATTAAGTTCTCAAGTCAAGACCCCACTGTATGTGAAAATCAGAGGAAAATTCTCGGAGGCCCTGGATTTGGCCTGAAAAGCCAACGCTGAAAGCTTGCCTTGGATAGTTCCCAGGACCAAACCTTCCTTGTGCAAGCTGATGATAAACTGTTGCAAATGGTCGAGTGGGACCGGCCAACTCTGCTCCAACCCCACTGACTGTCTGAATTTTTGAAATTCTCTACTCACTGCTGAGTACCCTCTCCTTGTCCTTGGTGCCAGGGCCATGTTTATCACCCTCTTCGCGTCTTCATGCCAATTGACCAAACCTCCTGAGGCAGGCAGGCAATAGGGGCGCATCCCTTTAAATGCTCTCTGTCTTTCCACGCCCCTCAGCCGTTCTTGTGAACAGCCTCACAATGTCGCATGGGCATCTGAGACAGGTCGCAAAGACCCGCTTTGATGGGGGGATCCCTCTGGTCTCACCCATCGGCGCACACATTCTCTGCTAATGGTGGCCCAAACACAGTCCAGCTTGACTGAGTAAACACACACACACAGAGAGTAAACAACAGAATACCAGCTACCTCTATTAATCCCTGTTAATTTTGCTCCTTTATTTTGCTGCGACTGTGTACAGAAAATGTACTTGCTTTAGAATGTGCCTCTTTGGCATACCTACAGTTTGGTACCTCAGCCTGTGATGGCATTTCACCTTAGATTTTAGATGCAAAGTTATCTTGATTCATTTCCAAAAAGGAACTTTAAAAAAATGATACACATAAAAGCAAAACAGTCAAGTAATGTCCACTGTCATTCTTCAGGAGGAATAAAAGCCATTCCGAACAAGTCACAATGCAAACACCTGGATCAATGTATTTCAAAGTTCAACTTCCTCATACCAAAAATTTGCTTAGAAGAATAACATTTGGATTTGACTTGCTCAGGCCACGGTAACACCGGCAAAATATCTCCCTGTTCTGCCCCACTGATTTTGAAATTTAAATATGTGGTCAGACAATGCACAGCCATTACTGAATCTTCTGCTTAGTCCCTGAGTTAACCCTGCATAAATTCTCACCCGCCTGGATACTTGTACTATTTTTGTGACATCACTTGTGCACGGCTGTACTGAAACTTTTTTGGGGGGGAAGCAGCTGTTTGAGGCATCACCAGTAATGCTGTTCTGCTGTCCCTTAAAAAAATTCAGCGTGTCACCACTAGACCAAACATGATTGCGGAAATGAAGATAGCCAGCCAAGTGTTGCTTGGAGCTGAAGAGAATGTTTATTCTATACATATGCATATGGTTGCACCATGAGGGGGACCCAGAATGGCGCAGTTACAAATCTTATATACTTTCAACCAGAAACAAGAAGAATGTGATGTGTTTACCAAATAAGGACATTAAGCATGAAGTGCTCCAGTCAGCTTAAGCCTCCTTTTACCTTACTGTTCCAAGTAGCAACAATTAATACATGCACAAAGCAGCATCCACCTTTTGACCTTCATAATCAAGATGGCTTCTCTTTGGTTCACTATCAGACAGGTAGAATGTAGATGCATTGGCAAACTTATGTCATTGGCCTCTGCTTTTTACTTTCTGCTTATGAGTAGGCATCGGGACTTGGGGACATTGGTCTGTGCAGCATCGCACCACCTACTGCCAAGGGGCTGACATTGCACTGGGCTATGGTGCAACTTTGTATGCAATGGTACGCGATGTTGCAGGAGGCACAAACACCACAGAGAAGGATGTACCCATCAGGGAATTGTTGCTGACCATCAATGTCACAGAAAAAATAACCATTTACAAAAAAAGGAGTGGGGGGACACAGAGACTTATAGGGAACCGAGAAGGGAACTATGCCGGTATCGAGGTGTAGCCTCACATAATGCATCAAATGTCGTGTGATATATGTCACGTGACTGCAAAGCACTACTGGACTGTGATTAAAAGTTGTGGAACCACAGGGGGACATTTTGCTAGTATGAATATTTTGCCTCCTCTATATTAATGAAGTGCCCCATCTTAAAAACTGGGGATAATAGAAAGCTTCATGGGACCATATCTCAGACTAAAATCTTTTTTCCATAATTGGGAGAAAAGAGATGGAATGGCAAAAAAATGAAGGAGCTTCCACAAAAACAAAAGACAGAACAAAAAAAATCAACAATCAACGTTCTTACTCTTAAATTTGGAAGATGTTGGATCAATAGGGGAGCTTAGAATTGATGAAAAACGGGCTGGAATGCATTCAGTTAACCTTCTTTAAAGAAATGACATGGATTCGTAATGCCATTTTCATAGCGATTGAAGCTGAAACTGTCAAAATAGTCTCTGAGAAAACAATGGTTCCTTGAGAGCAAGAAAACTGAGTTACCTTTGACTATCAAAGTACTTTTTGAAGAGTAGCTTGTTCATTTGAAGGAATGAGACATTCAGGGAGATTGCAATAAACATGGTTGTCTTGGTGTCAATGATGAGGGGAGATTCCATTAATCCGCATTAGTCTCAAAACTATACTCTGAAAAAAAGAGGCTGTTGCAATTCCATAAAGGAAGATTGCTTTTCTTTTCTAAAGTGTTTTGTTAGCAAGCTGGTGGGGGCAGGGGCTTCAGTGGATGTCTGAAAACAATTGTTTGCAACAGCTGTTTGCAGCAGCTTGTTAAAATCACCATGAAACCTGAGTCAATATGCAAGCCAGCCCAGGAAACAAAATCACCCAGAAAGAGCAGCTGTGGATATGGTTTAATGTCAGTGACTGGACTGTTAGGATTTGCCTTCCCAGGCCTAAACAAAGCCTCACCTCCACTGATGTCAGAGAAGCACTGTGGACCTAGAAGCCATCTGCCTGAATGTTGATTAACAGTATTAACTGGATTGATATTAACTATTGTGCTAGCTTAACACAGTTGCCAAAAGAAATGCCTTAGGTAACCGGGAAAGAGTTAAGCAGGAACTCCATGGATGGGTGTGACAGCCCTTGACATTTCATCTTGAGAGCAAAGATTAGTTTACAATGCAAATGAGTCATCATCTGCTATCCACTGCCTCCCTCTCTGTGGGCCACCATGGAATCTTTCAAATATAAATAACAAGGGCATAAATAGAAAGGGATAGCTAATGCCAAGTTCTTAACTATTTTATATGAGCATGGCTTTTATGCTTCTTGCTTTTTCTCCACCCACCAGATATCTCACACCAAAGTTCTTTACACCAGAGGCTTGTACATTAATCAAATTCTTGCTAAGAATTGAAGAATCTATATTATTGTTATTGTTTTCTGTTATTTAAACAAAACAACAAAGGCCTCAAAAATCTATTTTCTTACAAAGCTTTTGGCTTATGATGTCAAAAAGATCTCATGTCCTACCATAACTTAGCCTGACTAACTAAGCCCCAGCATATGCAAATAAGTGTCTTGTCAATGCCTTCTCTGTTTACCCCATCTCCATTTTCCTTCCTTCTCTTGTTTTCTCTGTCTTGGTTTCTCAATTGTAGGCTCCTCGGAGGAGGTTCTCATCCCCACATACTGTGTAAAGGACTATGGACATGGATGGTGCACCCATACAACACCCAGTGTAGTGTAGTGGAAGAATATTGGACTGGGATTGTGGAGTTCCAGGTTCAAGATCCCACTGAACCCTGAACCTCACAGGTAGACTTTGGGCAATTTGGGGCACAGTGCCACTGCCCATTTGAATCGATTCCTCTTCCAGCATTTTTAATATACATATTAAGTCACGTGGTATATAAATCGGTAGCCACATTCACTTTGAAATTAATTCAATAAAAACTGGTTTTAGCAACTACAGAGATAAAATCGACTAACTTTCTTTTAGGAACATTCTGTTTGTACACTTTTGGGCTTTTTAAAAAAAACAAGTGATACTTCTCTAAATTGATGGCTGCATTCATGAGAGAAATTCTTCTAAATGTCAGCAAGGTGCTACTTGGCGTCATATAGTCTGAAGAACAAAAGGGGAGAAACACCATAGAGGAAAGCACAAATTAAAATAATGGTTCATCAGCAGAAAATAGCAAACTGGGAGGATGGTTGTAATATAGAATGTATTGATAAAAGGATGCAGTGATAAACTCTTAAAAATGCAAAAAAAGAGATCGCAGTCACAGTGTACTAAGTGATGCATTATTATATCTATTTAAAAGAAAAAAGTTTTTAAATGGCATGGCAAAACCACAGTGCCAATGGCACTCAAAATCAATGAAGGAACAAACTAAATCAACAGTAGCATTCACAACCACCAATCTGAATTGAAATAAATCAATTTACAAGTGAGGTATTTTAAAAAGCCTCTAATGGCCAGTTTTTTTTTTTAAGTCACTTTGCAGTCCAAATAAGTTGATTCCACTCATGCGTTGTGTGCCCAGGAATTTATAAATCAATTTAAATAATGCTTAAATCAATATAATTGAGGTTCTTATTGCCAGTGGAACCACCTCTTTGCACACTCGCTCTCAGCCTGACATACCTCACACGATTTTCATAAGGGTGAACCTCAAGCATACACTGCAAGAAAGGCCAGACAGATATCAATGTAGCAACAGATAATAAACTAATTACTAGCAGACATGTGTTTATCTCCATGTCAATGGTATTAGCCATGATTAGGGTTGCCAGATGAAGTCCTCCGTCTTCAAAATTCATTTTGACGATGGGGAGACTGAAAAAAAGAGGAATATTTTATCAGTGGGGAGGAACTATGGTCTAGGAACATCAGAATAGCCATATGTTCCCCATAGCTGGTTGAGGTCATGTTACTTAACAAAATACCTGAGGAATTAAATGACCATGTTCTTGATTACCACCACACACTAATTGTGTCTTCTAGTCTAAATACAGATCAGCTTAACTGCCATTGCTCTTCTGAATTTTATCTTCAGAGTGTTTAGATAATCACAATATAGTAGGTGCATGAGGGACTAGATTTGCCACAACTTCTGTTGGAAACCAGCCAAAGACAAAGGGCTCTTTCGTACTCAGGAAATTCAGCACCACAAGTTTTTCATCTCTCCAAATTAAATTACATGAACCAATTTACACAATCAGTTTAAGTAACAGCAAACGTGATAGGCTTAGCAGGTCCCAGCTTGCCTCTCAGGCGAAGTTCAGATGTAACAATATCCGCAAGGTTTTATTTTTAACCAGGTGGATATCATTACATGGGCAACCTTTCCCATGGATACGGAGACTTATAAATCACAGAATGACCCAGGATGTATCTATGGGATTTACAAGATTCCATTGTCAGCAAGTGTTCCTTTTACACACTGAGTGACCACATAAACATATTGAGAAAAGGAAGAAGCACCTTGAGCACCTCCACGTCAAATGTCAGCCTGTAACATTCCCTAGCAAACAGATGTGGGCCCACTTTTCAAAGCTAAATCCTGAGAGCATTTGGGGGAGGGAAGCAAAATGTGCTTATTCTTTTAATGTTCATCCTTCTACATAGTCCCATAGTTGTTTTTGTTTAAATTAAATCTCTCTTTTCCCCTCACACAATAAGGGCTTTCCAAGTCACCACCCAATAAAGTGGTTGTGAAATTGTGGGCCATATTGGCACCCAACCATACACACATAGGAAAACAGATTGTGCACAAGACATATGGAGGGTAGTATTCCAAGGCAAAGATGGGCTCCATTCAACCCTGTACCTGTTTTTAAGCCCCTCTTACATCCCACTGCCATATCCGCCATTAAATTTGCAGGCAAGGTGACTGTTTTTTTTTTTTAAGGCACCAAATATGTTGGTAGAGCTCACCTAGTACTAAAGCACAATCACATCCTCAAAAGCCTTCTACAAGAGGAACTTCATTTCAAAACAAGGCATATTCTCCTGGCATACGTTATTTTAAAAGATACTGGGCTGGTTACCACTATTACTATAGTAAAATTAGTGCTGTGTTAGTAGAGGCAAAGTACTGTACAGTCCCCTTACGGAAGCAGGGGAGGGCAAAAGCATCTTCCATGTCCAGAAATTTCCCACTCCTGCTTTAAAAGTATATTTATCCCCTTCTTTCTGCTGTCAGAATATGACAAACAGAGGAAAGAATACTGAACTGAGGTAAAAATCCATACAATACAGTATTTCAGAGTGTGGAGGTCCCATTTGGAAGTGTTCTCATTATGCCCAGTCCAGAAATAACTTTATTTTCATGGTCAGGCTTTTATTTAAAAAGGAGGAGAGGGCAAATCTTTTCACATTTCAAGCTGAAACCAGATGTGTATCAGATTAATTAGCTTCTCCTTGTGAAGCCACCAGTACTACCACCACAAAACTACCCACATTTTCTATGCCTAATCCAAAATGCTGGTATTAAAACTCTAAACCACTAGAAGATAGCTTATCTGAAGTGTTTCTATCAATTTATAGCTACTCCGGCTGGAAAATCATCTGTGGCTATTACCAGTGGCTTACCAACAAACGGAGAAAGATTTGAAACCTTGTGGTGTTTTAAAAATTAAAGAGAGTGTAGGAAAAATTGCCCTAAAAGGAAAGAACTTTTAAAACTTCTGGCTTGAAAAAATTGTTTACATAAGTCATTGCAAAACAATTAGCCAGCTGGGCAGAGCAAGGTCAATGAATTATAAACAATCTTGGCAACTGAATGAATGTTTTGGTTATAATTTAGAGACTTAGAGATGAGATAGTAGTAAATAACAGGTGAATGAATGAAAAAAGAGTATTGTATAACTATATTGTGCCATCTTTTGGAAAATATGAATCTATGAAAAATAGGTTTTATGGTTCCATGTTATTGCTAGACAAACAGAAACATCAGAAATCTCCAAAAGTAGTAAGAATAGTCAAAAAATGTGTATGTGCTAAAACTTTGTTCCTAGCCAGGAAGTTTAGTCGCTGCAAAGTCTTATGAGATTTTATACTGCACATACAGTAGTTTCCTACCATTGTAAAACCTGGGTAATCAGATAAAATATTGTTGGTTCTAGAGGGAAGGCCTTGATTTTGTTTGTTTGTTTACTGTCCAATTAGTGCAATGCACTATTCTGAGCAGTTAACAAACTAAAGAAGCAAACAATAACAAACACACAATAACTCAAAACAAAAAAGCTGCATGGGAAACATTAAAAAAACAGAGATTAGGTGGCTATGAAATGTTCCCCAGATAGTTCTCCTGACATCTATATTGAAATAAATGGACACTTTAAAAAAAATCTTCCGCATTTCTTAATTGTTCACATTATCAACATATCCTGGTATTTTCAAGCCCTTGGATACTTGGTTTTTAATATACAATAGATTTCCCCCCCCCCCCGTATCCACAGGGGATTGGTTCCAAGTCCCTTCCCTGTCACAGATACTGAAACATGCAGATTATTTTAATACCAAATGCTACATATAGCATGGTCTCTGGCTTCTGTTCCCTGCCACTGTTTTATCTTTATATATTCTTGTGGTTTTAACCTTTGCTGTGTGAATTATCCAAAGAGATTCTGTTCTTGAGCAGTAGAGAAATACGGCAAATACATAAATAAGAATATATGGTTATGTTTAAATAGTAGAATCAGCTTCACATTTAGTTGCATAGGAACCAGTAATTTGGACCCTAAACCAGTTCAAAAACTGGTTTGGGGCCAACAAGAATTCTTTATTATTCTGTTTCTTTTCAAGTCTAGAGAGAACACCCCAGTATTCCAATTCTTGGCTGCTACAACTGTTTTAAATATTATATCCTTCCCACTCCACACCCTTTGAAACAGAAAGTAATGCTTTCTGAAACTTCCCAGGCAGAGTCCTTCTTTCCTGCTATTTTAAAAAACATGTTGTTTTAGCAGTGGTCAGCATGGGACTATGACCTAAGTTCCTGTTTGTCCATGGACCTTCCTTTTTTTTTTTCAACAAGCATATCAAATGAGACTGATGTCATCCTTGGAGTATGAATGAAAGCAGGATAAGCCTTAATCACTTGGGAAAGGACAGATACATCCGGACGGTCATAGCCAGCGAGGACAGAGAAGCATGAGCAACAACTTTCCAATACAAAATACTGTATGATGTATGAACTGAGGCGGTACTTACTTTGATATGAGCTGCCTCATTTGGCAACATATGCCCTGTGAAAGAGCACAGCCCATAAACTGAATAGGGCAGCCTACTCATGCCCACCTGTTTGGTAGGAAAAGAAATCAGCTGAAGAGACAGGTGGAGAATTATTAGGAAACACCATTCCTAGCAATATCGCCATTAAAACAGTCATAGATTATTAAAGTGGTTGATGAATGGGAAACAGGATCCTTTAAAAACTGGGCTTTTGTACCAAAACAGTCTTTTGCAAGTGGAGAAGAACAGGTAGGTTCACACCTATGTCAGTGTTCTCTACGCCCCTCAAGACTTGATGATAGCTGCCCCAAATACTCCTGGTGTTTGGGCAAAAATGATCTATGTTTTAATTGTACTGTGGTATTTCTTGAAGGAAGGAAGGAAAATATAGCCTTCAGCAATAAATAGAAGAGATTTGAAGAAAGAAAGAAAGAAAGAAAGAAAGAAAGAAAGAAAGAAAGAAAGAAAGAAAGAAAGAAAGAAAGAAAGAAAGAAATCACAGTGAAGATTGCTGCTGTTGAAGATTCCAGACAGATCATTTCATCTCTCTGTCTGCTCCGACTTTCAATTTTCCCCACTAATGGACTAAGCATAAAACAACATAGAGAGAGCTATGCTTGATCAGGCCAAAGCTCCCTCTAGCCTGGCATTCTTTTCCACACCACAGCCAACAGATGCCTATGGGAAGACCAGAAGCAAGTCATTAGTGCCACGTCACCCTCCTGCCTGTGTTCCCCAGCAATTGATATACAAGAGACTCACTTCCTCTGGTACAAGAAGTAATATATATAGCTATCTTGACTAGTAGGTACAGAGAGCCTTATCCTCTATGAATTTCTCTAATCCTCTTTTAAAGCCTTCTGTGTTGGCAGACACCATTTTGTGGGAGCAAATTCCACAGTTTAATCAGTTGCTATGTGTGGCGAAATGCCAACAGGCGACGGCATTCCTGCCTGTCCATCACAGAAGCTCAAATGGGAGGAGCCAAGGATAGGGCAGGAGGGGCGGAGTCAGAGAGACAGTTGGAGATGTGAAATGGCAGTTAGAGTTTAGGAGAGAGAAGAAGAGGGTTAGTGAATAGAGCTGAGAGAGTTAAGAGAGAGAATTTAGAACGTTAAAATATATTGAACAAGCAGGAATGAAATTATAAGTACTATAAGATAGATATTGATTAAAAGTATATAGTAGTTCGGAATAAAAGTACTTGCAACCCCATACACAATCAAATCCTTGGTAATACCTGATACAGTTCATATGTGATTTACCTTTGTGATTTACTTGACAATAAACGAATATTTGTTACTCAAACCTCTGATTCCTAAGTTCAATAAACCTTAGCTTTGGCAGCACATACATAAATTGGTATTAGGAGGATAATACCTGGTGGCAGATAGAAGAGAAAGGATGTGAGCCTTTGTGAGGACCAAACTAAACAGGGGCAACAAGGTCGAACGCCACACTATGTGAAGAAATATTTTCATTTATCTTTCCTAAATCTCACACCTTTCAGCTTCACTAAAAGACCCTAGGTTGAAAAAGAGGTAGTATGATTCAGAGAGAGAGAGAGAGAGAGAGAGAGAGAGAAGAGAGAGAGTCCACTTTACACACCATTCTTCATTTTTAGAATCCTAATATGGCAGCCCTTTCAGGGCTCTTCTAGATGAGGCATATTTAACTGCCTTGGACACAAAGAGAAATTTTACAGGCAGACAGATGATGGTCCTCTTATCTCACTATGTACAGATTCTGATTTTTGTGAATTTCTACATCTTTTTGCCCCTCCCAAACTCTTTGATTTATTGTGTCCTGTGCTGGACCAGGCCTGAGTGCAACGTCTCTTCCCAGTCCACAGCTTATTTCTTCTTGCTTCCCTGTTTTTTTTAAAAAAATAGATCCTAGCACTCTTCTTGGCTGATGCCCCCTGAAGAAGTTGACTGATGAACTCCTTCTGAGTATTATCTACCCAGAAAACCCTGAAAAGGATTGCTGTAAGTCAGAATTGACTTGACAGCATATGATGAATAAGAGGACTCTTCTTGTCCAAAAATGAGTTGATATAGCACAGTGGACCTTCCCCAATCTATAAGCAAAATGGATCTGCGTCCAAAAAGTGAGTTGATATAGCACAATGGACCTTCCCCAATCTATAAGCAAAATGGGGGAGATGAAAGGAAGGGAACAAAACGGACAAGGCAACAGTATATTTTCTTGCCACTTTTGCTTCTCTAGGTTGCTGAGCTTTTGCTCTCAGATTCTTGGGCACCTCCCTTAGACCCAGAGAGTCAGTGCCAGTTCATGACCATGAAGCATCTTATCTTACTGTATCTTGTTTCCATGGATCCACTACCAGCAAATCCCACAAAATCCAGGTAAATCCTGTCTTCTTTCAGAACACAGTGGAACAAAGGAAGGCAGAACAAACTGGTTCAAATGCATTCAACAGCATTGTCTCACCTTTTTAAGACAGACCACTCCAAACTTCTAACCTTAGACCACAGAACCTTTCTAGTTGCCCTTTGCGGGCTCTGTGCCACCTGTGCATGTTCTCTTTTAACTCAGCTGTTCTGTGATCCATTCTCTTAAGGATTTATTTCTAAAAGGTTTGTCTATCTATTTGACACTTATAATCCTTTGAGTTCCTCCATACCCACATACATTTCCCCGTTTGTATATGTGATGCCCTTTCAAACGACAACACTCAAAATCTGACTATCAGTAACAGATGAAATTATGTAAGATGCTGACAGGTTACATTTCATCTGAAAACCTGAAATCAAATCTTACCCTTTGGTTTCAGTTTACGTGGTGCTCTAAACAGTTTTCTTTAGTGTAGTGCTTCATTACATTAATCGTTTGAACATGCTGATAAGGGACTTATTTTGGATGTGAATAGAATAGTCTGTAGATATGTGCACTTAGTTTGCGCTAGAATAATTTCATGTCAATGTTTATATGCACTTGTCATATAGTCAAAAGATCTGTTAATGCTGATGCAAAAGAAAATGTGTATCCAGGGATTTGTTTTCCCCTCTTGAAACATAGGGCTGCATTAAATATAGTTCAACTGGATGGAGGGGCTTTTCCTCCTTCGCTGCTGCATGAAGTGCTAAGGTTTTCACCAAGCCCTACTGTACCACCAACACAGAAGCTGCTGCTGAACCATTGTGTGCCTACCTTACTCATGACCTCTTAAAGGCTGTTGAAAGGTGAACATAGCCTAGGCCCATGAGGTCATTAACCTTCAATATGAAGGTTGTCTCTCAGGCTAGATAGGAATATCCTTCATCTCACATTTTGTTTATATGTATTGCTCTCTGTAAAATGTCAGTACACTTAGTAAGACCTATGAGATATGTTCAGTAAAATAACACTCTTTTACATTTCTAGAACTCACTGAGCCTTCCATGTGGGCAGAAGTCCAGTGAAGAGACATCCAGTGCTTGGGAGCAGCTGTCAAGAATATCCTTGTATTAACTTGGTACCTGCCTGTTATTCTTAAGAGGGTGTTGTATTGCTCTTGAGCAGTGAGTATTTAGCTGGTATTATTGTCCAATGCAATGGCTAAGATGGAAGTTCCAACTGCTGATAGAAGCATCTTCTAAGTAGTATTGTGCTCACAGGGCAATACCATTAGGGGAAGGGAGAGGGGATAACTTTCATCAATTTCTTCAAGCCCATGCTGCTTGCTGCTCCCTGGCGCTCTATTGGTATTGGATAGAGATGGGCATGAACCAGTGGTGCTGTGTGTTACCTTACCCTGCCTCCCCAGCTTGATCCCCCCCTCAATCACCAGTTGGCACGTGCTCCTCTCCTCCTCCTCTTCAGCTGTCTAACCAGTCTCCAGCAGGAGCATGGGCTTCCCTACCCTGCCTCCTTGGCTAATTGCCCACTCAAGACAAGGAGGCAGGACAGGCAAACCCTTGCTCCTGACAGGGACTGACTGAACACTGAGAAGGAGGAGGAGAGAAGTGTGCCCTGACTGGTGAGTGGATCATTGGCCAGGGAGGTGGGGGAAGAGAATGAGCAGCACCTCTGCTGCCATGCATACAAGCTGGCACGAAACTCCAAACCAAGGTCCCTGTCCATCTCTAGTCTGGGGAATTGGTATGGGGAATTTTCTGACATACTGGGAAGTCTACTTCATATGGGAAGAGAGATTTCAAGGAAACTTTCCCGCCTTCCCTGACACCAGCATCTCAGTTTTGTCAATGCACATAGGTAGCTATTCTCTCTATAGGAGCCTGCAGAAGAACAAAGTCAGTGTATTAAGGTCTAAACTGGTGCAAAAGGAACAATTACGATCCCCGTGCATTTAAAATTTGTAAGGGGGTGGAAATGTATTGATTAGAAAATCCATTTGTCCTGAAAAGGGCTCTTTAGTACTTTTTGCCTTGTGTTAATAATATTTACATAATAGGCTGAGAGATGTTCAGATGTGCCCTAATTGTCACATTTGAAAGTGCTTAGAAATGTGACAAGATATTCATGTTACATTTATTTCTTTTTTCCTTTAAAAAAAGTATAAAATGTCATTCAGTAACATAATCTCAAGATAACCTAAAATATAAAGAATAAGTTAAACAATGAAATAATAGATAAAAGTCATGGGTTAAGCATTATGATATGAATTTTGCAATGTGTCAGATTAAACTAGTTCACCTGACATTTTAGAAAGCTTCACATAATTTAGAAGACTTTGCTGAAAAGATGCCCAGTAAGAGTGGGTGGGAGGCTTGCTTCCTTGAAAAGAATGTTCCAAATATGGAGTATCTCCCAGAGGAAAACACCTGCTTTAGTCTCCATATAGCTGACCCAAGAGGGCGCCTGATAATCATCTTAGTTCATGATAGGATAAGCACCAACCTTTTGATTTATATTTGAAAATGGACCAAGAATGTACTTGTTTCCAGGCTGTCAGACCCCTTCAAGAGAACCTGGGGTTGCATAACCCAAGAAGAAGGTATTTTCAACTAAAGTTTCTTACAATTCTTGATATACAGATAAAGTTTCTTACATGCGCTAAATGTCTAGGACTCTTCTATGAGATTTAAGTCAAAGCAAAACCAGGAAAAGTATACTTTTTAGACGTTAGAGTTGCACTAATAAGCAATCTCAAAAGTGTGGATTCGATCTTACGACTGCAGGTCTTCTGACCTTGCAGCACAGAGGCTTCTGCGGTTTATCCCGCAGCGCCACCACGTCCTGCAATAATGCTAATATTGGCAACCAAATACAAAAATAGGGCAGATCTATTAGGATGGTCCACTCCTGGAGTCTAATGGATCTGATTGGTTTCCAGGAGGCCTTGGGGTTTTTTCTGACTGACCTGATTAGTGCTCCTGTCAAAACCCAGGTCTCCAAACGGTATACTTTGCAGTGACATGGACAGTTGATACAATAGCTCCTGAATAACCCTCTGCTCTGGGACTTGTTTCTCACCTTGGTTCACAGATGAGTTGCAAGCCATGGAACAAATGAGAAGAAGGCTAGAGAGCAACTGGAGTAAAGTTCCCTTGGATGGAAATAAGGAAGCTGCAGTAAGGAAGCTGTCCAGCAAATATTGTAACACCATCCAATTGGCTAAGAGGGACTAATACACCACACTTGTTAATGAAGCTTCTCATAATTAAATGGCATTTTGTAGAGTATGACGTTTGCCCCACGTCACTCCTGTCACTCATATTCAGAATCTCATTTGCATGAGCCTATGAGAGGAGTGGAGGGGCAGAGTCAGCAGATACAAGAAGGTTTGGCAGGGAGATATATAGAAGTTGCACAGAGAGAAAGAGAGTCGGGGAGATAGTGAGAACTGATACTAATAGAGATAAGTTGGTCAAGATAAATAGAGCAGGTGGTGATGGGTTATGTGGCAAGATATATGATATTTTAATGATTTGATTGTATGCATTGAATAAAGAACATCTGTGATTCTGATTAAATTTAATACACTTCA